CCATAGCTGAGGTGGTTGAGCATCAGAAATTTGCAGTTTAACCAAGCTGAAAATTCTGCCTGTGAGAGAGGACATTTCCAGCTGCCTCCAACCATGGCAAATGTCCTGGAGGAGGCAAGTTATCAGAATGCAAAATACCCCATAAATGCAGGGAAGATAGTCATTTTCTCTCTATTACCACACTGAGGACCTTAAAAATAATCATTTAGCAATCAAGCCACCTGCCCCCATGATAGCAGGCATATAATGCAACATAATGTTGGGTAGTATAAGGCTCCTAAATTTCCTTAATGACTTTTTTTTTGTTTGTTTGTTTCTTAATCCCCAAGAACTTGAAACATATTAAATTTCAAAAAAGTAAGAAAAATAGAACAGAAACTGGTAATGTACTCTGGGTGGAAAGAAGGCTGGGTAATATATTCGTTCTAATTGTATTAACCTTCCCCCATAATGAGGTGGGGGGGAAGCCTACCATCTGTTTAAGTCATTAGTCAGTTCCATAATTAAAGGATTAAGATTAGCTCTAACAATTTCATTACTTTTCCTAGGAAACTGAACATCTGACTATTTAAAACTAGTCTAATGCCATTGAAAAGTGCTATTGATTAGTTTTGTCTTTCTTACACTTTGGGAGGTTGCCATCAACCCAAATTCAGTCCAATTGATTTATGCCAGGAACATTTCCTAAAGTTGAATACCATGTCCCATGCACAAGGAAAATATTTTTGTCAAACTGATATAAATAAAAGCATTTCATCAGCATACAGTAATGGTTTAACCTGACACATTCCTGATCTCATACACTGCAGTTTGTGATCAGCCCTATTTTGCATTTCCAACCATTCAAGAACAGTGATAAATAAAAGGAGTGAAAGGGGATGCCCTGCTCTTTTGCATAGCTTTTAAGAATTAAGCAATTAACCTCCTTTGAAGTCAAAGTGATTGTGGACTAAAATAAAGCAACACTAAAATCAAGGTGAGAAATAATAACACAAGCCAAATTTGCTTAAAGGGCCAAATCAACCTAATCTTGTCAAAATCCTTTTCCTCATCAGGGCAGCACTGCAGCAGGGATTTATCTGAGGATCTACAGACACTCATTAATTCCATCAGGAATCTTGTACTATCAATACCCGATCATTATTTCTGAAATTCATCTAATTAGGATGGTAGATAGCATCTATTATTTTATTTGATCTTGTACCCAATGCTTCAGTGAGATATTTATGTTGGCAGAACCTAAAGCTCTTGTAGCTCTCTGCCTGGTTTAAGCAGAACTGAGTAAGAGCCTCAGGAGAACAGTCTCTTCAACATGAACAGTTGCTTACAAGGTCTAAGGGCTAACATTTACATAAAGAACACTTCCAAGTTCTTGTATCTTTTTTAACAGTGCTTCTATTCAAATATTTTGTCATATTTCTTGGTAGAGCAGGTGAGGAATCCTGAGGCTCCCCACCACCAAGACCCTGCACCATCTCCAAGGTGTGTTCTATGTAACTGAACTCATCCATAAACAATCCAGGGGCAGGAAATGTAACAGTGCTTATATTTGCCAGTAACAGCAAGCAATTATTGGCAGTATAGCTTAAAACCAGTAGTGAGTAGTTCTGGAAGAATCTCACAATACTCAAGTGACCCCAAAGATAAAGTGGCAGGTGAAGTTCAGGGTTCTGAAAATCAAAGTAAGGTACTTAAGATGAAATAATCTGATGTATCCGTATGTAGATAATGAATGGGTTTGCATTAGCCACGAGCAAAAATTCAGTCATTGTGGATACCTTTCAGAAAATGCCAACAGAGTGCTCTGAGGCCACACAAGCAAACCCATATATCAGCACTGTCTGCAAAAGGCCTCGAGAGGAAAAAGTGTTTTGCCATTTCCCTAAGTTCTTCCATGGTGCTGCAATCAGACCATGCCCAACAAAAGAGAAACCACAACATCATAGACAGAAGGATGACAGAGAAAGGCATGAAACCTGTTCAGCTGGAAGGGAGCACACACAGATGAAATTTTGGCACGGAAAAGATGTGTTTGTTTGAGGGAATATGACAGAGGGCAAGAATAAGTTGGTACTGACTGTTGTCCACAAAGGTGCATAAGGAACAATCATTCTCCATAATACCAAGTGTTCTGAAGATTGGAAAGCCACCAGTTTTAAATAAAGGAACTGTTTGGTTTTGGGGGACAGTGTGTTAATGTATGGTAGAACTCAAAGCAGTAGGATACCAGAGTGGTTAAATAAATTTATAGAGACTAGCTAAGCTTCCAAAGGCTAAGTGACTATTAAGTGACTATTTGAATGATATTTCTAATGCAGGCTCTGGTTTAAAGAGTGCTTATATAACTGTCAGAAGCTGAGACAAAACAACAAGGAAAATAGTAATTCATACTTTTTGAGGGTGTAAATGGCTAACCTTGCTTAACCTTGATTATCAGGATTTGGGTGTTTGAATCTCTACTTTTATCTAATACCATAATAATGTTTTTCTCCCTCTCCTGATAATATAAAATTCATGGTTTAAACTTGATATCTGAGGCAGGTATCACATCTTAAATAGATTTTTTTGGACTAGATTCTTTATCAGCTATAATGGAAGCTTAAACACTCCTTTTACACTCAGATCCTGACACCTGAGTATCACCCATGCACTGAATTCAAACACTAATAGAGCATTTATCTGATTGAATATGTTTACATTCAAACCCAAGGCAGACAGCATGAACACCATTTGTGGTCAATGGAGAAAGAAATGGTATTTGTAGAGGCCCCTCATTTTAATTTTATGCATGAACAAATTCAATCAAACAGACCATGTCCTAAAGCTTCCAGTCCCCACTGCCCACGTTGGAGGGACCAGTGTGGGGAGCTCAGATGAAGATAACCACTGTGAGGTTTAAACATTCACTCTGTCAGGTGGATGTTACCTTCAGGCATGTTTAAACAATTCAGAACATGCAAAAAAAAAAAAGAAAAATCCCAATTCCTTCCCTAGAAAAAGGTATATATTGCACCTGTAAAGTGTCATGTAGCATATGAATGCATGAGTATGCACACAACATTCCAGTTCCTGCAAGTAGGGTTTATTTTTCCTACTTCACCAGGAAATGGAAACAAAGCTCAGTGTAATTCTAACATTAGTTTGCTATAAATTCCTAGTCTTTAAGCTAATGGCAAAATAATGTTCCTCTCATTAGTTTAATGATCATATCGTGCTTAATACAAGCATTCTTCCCTCTTTTTTCCCCTTTCATTAACTCAGTCTAATAGTTGCAGACAATTTTCTTTCACTATGAAGCTGTCAATCTTTTTCCTGTATGTAACATGCCAGTCTGCTATAGCACAGAATTAGTGCAGTGCATTTATCAGAATGAGACTTCTTTTCATTTACTCACTCAAAAATTAGTTTGAGCTATCTATAATGATGCATGTTAATGGAGCACATTTTAAGAAGAAAACATTTAGATCATTTACAGATTTTCTTTTTTAACTATGATATGTGCTTCCTTCTCAGTGTTTGACTTAGAATAAACTAGCTGACACTTGGAAAAAAGGAAAGGAAGCTGAAACTGATGCAGAGGAAAGTCCCTCAGCTCCTACTGAGCTGGCTGTTCCCCTGAGGCACTGAGAAAAAGACTTTTACTCATGGCAGTATGCAGCAATATAAAGCAGCAGCAAAGTTTCCTTCTCTTATAATGATGCAGACTCTTCTTAGGAATATGAAAAATTAAAATAAAATAGATCTTTGTATATGCTATATTTTAGAAGAAACCACCAGCAATTTCACTGAAGGGATAAGGAAAAAGAAGTGCTAACAAAGGATGTGTCCAAGAGCTGCCATATGAGACCCATTAGATGCTTAAGACCTCAGATATTTATGGGTTGACTGGAAATGTGGAGACACTTGATTCTAGGCACCTATTCAGCCTTTCTGTTGGGATCTCCTACATTCAATGCTGTCACATCATCTGAGTTGACAACTGCTTGCTGTGAAAGGACAGCCCTGCAATTCTGTCAATGCTCTGAGTTTGCATTCCAGGCCCTCAGCTGTCTCTTACACTTTCCTGTCCCTTGCTTTTGTTTATCCCAACTTCTTCAGAGTTCATACTGCTTTAAAATAGCAAAAATTTATCTTTGTCCACAGTCCTGCCACTGGTCAGATACAACAAAGCTGCTCTTCTTTTGTTCAGTTCTTTACAATAAGAGACTTTATCAAATGAAAACCAGCAGCTAGTGGAAAAACCCATTTCTTTGCCTTAGCAAAATTTAAGGGGTTGCTGTGTTTATCCTCTTTTTTCTTCTCAGAGGCTGGCATTCCCACCCAAATCTGTTTGTTTCTTCCTTCTTTCCATGAAAGTTTACATTAAGACTATCCCATTTAACTTTCCCCATTGTTTTTTCCCCCCATTTGATGTATAAGAAAGAAATGCTTCTAAGTGCCCGTACTTCAAGAAACCAATTCAGAGATACTGCATCAAACAGTGTTCAGTCAACCTGTCAGAACTGAACCCAAAGAGCCATCTTTGGGGATTTTTTCCTGTTCTCGATTGTTTAAGCATGACTGAAGGTAACATTCCCTCTCCCCTTGCAAATACTGGGTGAGGGTTTTCCCATTTCCCCAACAGACACATTGGCACTGCTCTGTCTTCGTGGAACTGAGAACAGATCTGGCTATTCTCTCACACACAGTTTCAACTAAACTGGTTCTGAAATTTCCATGGGGCATTCCAGGACAAGGAGAGGAATTAAAAAATAAATTGCTGTCTGGCAGGGCTGAAGAGCCCCTTTGAGACATGTTTCCATCACACCCCACCCTGTGACACAGAGCCCTGGTGGCTATAGCAAGGTCTCAGTCTCTGTGATCAGCTAACCTTGCCCTTGCCTTTCCCTCCTGCTCTATTGTAAGAGCATGAGCATTTTGTATGGAAGTGATCCATTTCCTATTTTTTTGTATTTGACTTGACCCACCAGTGTCACTCACAGGGAAACTGATTTCCAGCAGGGTCTGGAGGAGCAATTCCCATTCCTTGTCTTGAAACCTTTTCTTCTCCTCTCTCCTCCCTTTTCCCAGGCTTCGAGAGCAGCATAGGATTTCCTCTGAAATTCAAAATTATCATTATCTCATGGTGTTGCAGAGGCCAGCAGACCTTGGCTCTGGTTTTGCCCTGCTCCATGTGCAGCCATCTCCACCCCAGCAGGGAGGGCAGAGAGAACCCAGCCCAACCCTGACCCCCTTCTGCCTCCACCCCAAACCAGGCACCCCAAAACTGGACCCAGCTCCCACAGAGGACCTCCCTGAACCATATATACTATACATATGAACTATACAGCACCTCAGAGGAAGCTATCCAAGCCTGATTTTACCCATTCAACATTGCTTTGAATACCTGTGAATTTATTTCCTGTGAGTAGCCTGTGACTGGAAGACAAGCACTCGATGAAATTTCAGATTATTTTAGGCACACAGCTGCAAATGAAACACACAGCAGATCCTGATGATTCCCCACACCATACTCAGGACCAGACAAAACTGGGCATGCAGTGCAAGCCACACTGTGCTCCAGGCACTGGCATTCAGAGGTGAAGAATGCAAATTCAAGGGATGCAAACTTTCAAATAGCATTTTTTTTGCCTTCTTGCATGCATCCCTATTTTTTTTAGCCTGTCTTTTACCCTGCAATTCACCCATGTGCCTATCTTCCCGAAACACATCACATTTGGCTTTTCTCAAATGACTACATATAAATATATTTACTTTTGCAAGCTGACATGTGTAAATGTCACTGTCTGTCACAGCTCACTGTTTCTCTCTCTTTCCAAAGGAGACAATGCAGTGCCACGAGAAAGGTCACAGGGCTGGACATTGTTCTGCACCATCTGTGCTTTCCTTTCAGACTGGGATGGACAATAAATGCATGCCTGCTGCTGGTGTGAGGAGTTAGCAGAAGGTCAGTGAAGGAGGCCAGTGCATATCCCAAAGCTTTCAGACTCAGTGCCAGCTCCCAGAGCAGCTGAATTCTCTCAGAGTAACCAGCACTGAATTAAGAGGCAAGCATATATTAAGAGAACATACATATATTTTCTCTTTATAAAGCAGATGCTGAAGCCATTTAGGAGGACTTGCTCCTGGATTCATACTGATTTGTTCCACTACAAATTAGTGTTACTCAGGTATTATTGAGAAGAAAGCTAAGATGAATCAAAGAAACTGCTTTTCATCAGAGTGCCAGAACAATACAGCCTGGAGCACAGCACACACGAAAGTGCACAATATGCTTAGGGAGATATTAAAAGGAGGTCCTGTATTTGTCTAGTAGTCTCTTTTCCTTTTATGCATGTATCACTCTCCTGGAAGCTTGAGGAAGGATGATTATTTCCCCAGAGACACCGCCACCATCTGCAAAACATGGCAGGAAATCTGTGAGCCCTGTGGACAGAGCTGCCTTCCAGGAGCAGAATGCAGAGTGCAGCAGTGCTGGGGTTTGCTTAGAGCAGAGCTGTGGTCACCAAAGGTCCCTAAAGGTCCCCATGCCACAGCACCACTGCCTGAGCTCTTAGCCACTGCCACGGGGCAAAAGCAAAGACAAATCAGAATAGTGGGGTGGCACTGCAGCATCAATAAAGGCTTGGAGTGGGAAGCTCTACTGGCAATGGATAAAAGGAGAAGTTCTAAGAGAACACAAAAGAGAAATTGTATTTACAATATGGCTTTTTCCGAAGCACAAAAGTGATTGCACACTCCTAAATATGTCTTTTCTCAGCATTTCTAATAAGGCTTAGGAATGATGGAGTTGCATGTTCTTGCTTAAGCCAAGGTTGAAGAGACTTCTGATCATTTTTCAGAGGCAGTCTTTTTGTTCTATCCCTTCTCCAGTTGAAGTGGTGTTACCAAGAAATTACCAGCATGCCAAGTTTATTTCTATATTTATTTCTATATATTTATAAATTACCAGTTCTGAGCAACTGCTAATGCCAGGCAGCCACATTAAACTGTCTGTGCTTCACCCACGTGTGCTGCTACAGAGAGAGTGAGCTAATGGTGCAGCTCTGCTCAGGGATGGACTGAGAGGCAGGGATTGCACACCTGGCAGCTAAAGAAAAATGGGCTTTCCAGCCCCCTCCATAATTCAGAGAAAAGCAGGAGGTTTCAAGGCCTGCAGCACTGTATGTTTGCCATTTGATGGAAAAAGGGTTAGGATATATTCAGGTCAATTTAAAATTGTTATAAAGTACCAAAACACTAAAATGCCTGAAGATACTCTTTGCAAGAAATCCTTCATACTTGAAAGCTGTGTTGCATCATCTGTAAAAAGGCATGTATTTCTTACCTGAAATCTATGCCATGCCAGCATATTACAGCAGGAGGTTTTGTGTCTGGTGCAGCTTGATTTGGGAAGGAGAAGGCAGAGTGAGAAGCCATGAAATGAGGAGAAAAGAGACTTCAACAAATTTTCTGTATGGCAAAGCCAAGAAAGCAAAGAAAGAAATTCACACAAGATATTTAAGTAACATTAGAAAATCACTCATTGCCCTCACGTAGCAGATTTCAGTACTTCAGAAATTACTTCATCACTGCTGAGAAAATGCTGAAAGAATCCTTCACAAGAGCAGGTTTGTAAGCCCTTTAAAAATTCTGGCCCTTAGGAACTCAAAGTGGATATTCTTTGCTCCTGTAACATGCTTGCCAATAATCATCAATGTTTTTGAGCACTTCATGCTTAATCTAATGATCTTAGCTGCAGGAGAAGTTTTGTTAGTGCTGGTGCTGGAGGTCAGTGCTCGTGATGAGCGGAGGGAGAGAGAACATGAGGCTGGCAGATTGCTTGGCACATGCACCAGGGACATGAGAAGCCTGAGCTGAAGCAGCAGGGAGGGAGAAAAGCTGCTGGAGGGGGCTCAGGGAAAAAATCAGGACAGTTATTGCTCCCTGCTCACACATAGAGAGGCACAGCTTTGCATGTTGACTTTCTCCAATCCACCAGGATGGCTGCCTTGGGGAAAAACACATTTAACAAGTGTGCTCAAAAACACATCTTTTAAACCCTTTTTAGCTGGAACTTCCTTTTCCCTCCCCACTTTCAATTCTCAGACAGGTTTTTAAACAGCTGTTTTTAAACTCTTGACACTTCAGGTTTCTCTGTGAGATGTGATGAAGTTTCTGGCTGTATCTCTTTCACATAGTCTGATCTGCCAGTCTTGTCACAATTATGGGCAGTCCTTGTCCTCATGGCAATCCTTTATGCTCACTGGATAATGTCCCAAAGATTCTGCAGAAAAGAGATACCAGATGCACAAAAAAGCACAATCAAAAAGCACTATCATGCACCAACTAGATCCCTTAGCCCACCTATTTCATAGCACTTCTTTAACCATCTGGTCTCTTTGAACTTGTCCTCTATGCCAGATTAAAAAAAAAAAAAGGCAATTTAAAAGAATATCATTAAAGATCTAAATTAGTAGGCATTGATTGAATGCCACAAGCAAATGACTACAATTAGGAGAACCCTTTGCAGTTCATAACTTACCTTGTTTTGTTCCTGTTCATATATTATCCAAAAAAGACTTTGATTTTTACTAATCTCCTCATTATTCAAGGCCCTTCAGCAAAAATTGATGCAAACATATTTCAACATATGGATTCTGTCTGTGGGTGAGTCACTTCTTTAGCTCTTTGACTAACTATTATTTCTGGCCTGTGAGTCGTCAATTGAACCACATGGCATTCCCATGCCCTGGCTGGATGTTTTCACCAAGCTCTCAAGACTTTCTGAGAAACACCATCCAGCTTTATCTGACACTTCTCACTGAACACTCTTCAGGTCTGGGTTATCATGATGAGACACACACAGAAACCAGAGCAGTAGAAAGGGAGGGTTGTTCTTGTTACCCAGTTCATGGCTTGTGCCTAACCCAATTCCCCGCCTTACTAGGGACCAGAGGTATTTCCCACAGCTTCCCAGATGATTTCTTGCATATCTTACAAGTCAGTAACAAAATTACCTGTAGAGGAAGACTTGACTAAACAGAGGTTGATTGCTTTTTACCCCACTGCTCTCTTTCTTTGTAGTCTGCTTCACCTTGTTTGGATGTAGCTTGGATATTTCCATATGGATGATGCAGACATAACTTCAGTGTATTCCAAAAAGGAGAAAAAGACAGCAGCAGGGTTTTGTTCATTTACAACAGAGCAGGCAATGAACTTACCAAGACAAAGTGAAGTCACCAGGGTGATTTTCCCAGTGCAGGGTGCCAGGCTGGCTCCAGTTGGTGCCCTCTGCATCATTCCTGTCCAGCCCATCTTCAGGGCTCCCTGGGCTCTGCTCTGTCAGCCTCCCCAGCACTCAGACTCCTGACTGCCTCTGGGACAAATAGAGTTTCACATCAAAACTAAAGCATCTGTCCCTTCATAAAGCTAGGATTTCTAAAAGATTTGGAGGAGAAGCAACCAGCATATCACCACTTTCTGGGGACGTTTTATTTCTTATTTTTTCAAATTAGCAAAGTGGAAGAGACAGCCAAAGGGCTTTTATACCTTTTTACAGAGAAGTGATAAAAGCCACCAAAATCATAATAGCTGCCTATTTCCTATTTAAAATGCTCTTGCTTGGCTTTAGAAAAGAGAAAACATCTCTTTAGTATCATTTTCATCAGCACTGCCACCATCTGCACAAGCCTTAACTCATACAGGAGGGATTTGCAGAGGAATTTCAACCAAAGTGTCACCAACAGTGTGTTCTCAGAGCAGGCAGAATCAAAGAATAAGGAATTAAACAAAGGAGATGAATTGGTTGACACATGTTACCCATCCATCCCTGCAGAGTCTTACACAGAAAAGTCTGTTGGGAAAAAAAGAAAAACACAAATTATAAAAAAAAGTTTCCTCAACACCATCAGATCTGTTCAATGTGAAAGAATGAGACAGAGAAAGCATATGTATTTATCCGTTGCATTGTTGAGCTCTAACTCTTTTTCCAGACTCAATCAATAATTTTTCTCTTTAAATTCCCCTGTCCACTGTACAGGAGTCAGCTATGTTTGTTTACCAGCAGATAACCATCTTAATTAGACTACTGTATTGAAGCTCGGCTCTCTTCAAGCACAGAAATAGTTTTGTTCCCTCTGGCATTGTTTTCCTTGGATGTTTCTCTTGCTAAACGGAATCTTTTCCTGTTTAATGAAAAAGACTAATGTAAATGCCAACCTGTAATCTTTGTGCTCGTGTCACTCCCACTCAAGTGAAACTAGACAGGACCCAGTTAATTAGTACAAACCATTAAAACCAAATAAAAACACTGTTATCAGCCAGCTTATTTATCTCTAAGCATCTCATTTCCACAGCACCAAAACCAACTGGAATCAGGTAAAATGGCAGCCAATTTTTTATGTTTTGACCATGAAGGCTGTGTACACTGCAGGGAAATTCTTGTGGAAGTCACAGCAACCTGAGAAGCAAGTCCTGAGTTACCAAGTGAGCTTTTCCAAGGCCAGCAGCACATGCACTATGCAGGAACCTCCCAGCACAGAGCCCTGGGCCATGTGCTGCTACTAGAGGTCTAAATCCCTGTGGCACTGGGGTCATTCCAGCCTCCTTGCTAGCCCAGGCCAATTCCCAGCACCAACAATGCCCATTCCAACAATTGTCAGCCCATGAGGATTTCAGTAATGATTCTGTAAGAGAAGGCAAAGCCTGGCCCCTCTCTGCCACATCCAATGGCCAATGGCATCCTGGCCTGCATTAGGAATTGTGTGACCAGCAGGAGCAGGGAGGTTCCAGCAGGAGCAGGGAGGTTCCAGAAGGAGCAGGGAGGTTCCAGAAGGAGCAGGGAGGTTCCAGAAGGAGCAGGGAGGTTCCAGCAGGAGTAGGGAGGCTCCAGCAGGAGCAGGGAGGCTCCAGCAGGAGTAGGGAGGTTCCAGCAGGAGCAGGGAGGTTCCAGCAGGAGTAGGGAGGTTCCAGCAGGAGCAGGGAAGTTCCAGCAGGAGTAGGGAGGTTCCAGCAGGAGCAGGGAGGTTCCAGCAGGAGTAGGGAGGTGATTCTTCCCCTATACTCAGCACTGATGAGACCACGCCTTGAGTGCTGTGTCCAGTTCTGGCTCCTCAGTTCAGGAAGGACATTGAGATGCTTGAGCGTGTCCAGAGGGGGCAACGAGGCTGGTTTGGAGCACAAGCCCTGTGAGGAAGGTTTGAGGGAGTTGGGGTTGTTCAGGCTGGAGAAGAGGAGGCTCAGAGGTGCCCTCATTGCTCTCCACAGCTCCTGAAGGGAGGTTCAGACAGGTGGGGTCGGTCTCTTCCACCTGCAGCACTGACAGAACCAGAGGACACAGCCTCAGCTACGTCAGGGAAGGTTTAGGTTGGATATTAGGAAAAACATTTTTTACTGAAAGAATAATAAAATACTGGAATTGTCTTCCTAGGGAGGTGGTGGAATCACCATCTCTGGATATGTTTAAAAAAAGACTGGACTTGGCACTTGGTGCTATGGTCTGGTTGTGGTGTCAGGGCACAGGTTGGACTTGGTGATCTTCGAGGTGTCTTCCAACCTCATTATTCTGTGATTCTGTGATTCTGTGACCCTACTGAAGAGCTGGTACTTTTTACACAGAGGCTCCTGACCCTCAGCAATAAATCCATGCCATTCCTGTAACAAGTACCTAAACACAGGGCATGTAAGGGGCACAGCAGCACCATCCTTTGCTTACCATTCACACCTTACACAAACTCCTAGCAAGGCAAGAAAGTGCTCTTGAACCTCTGGGAAACTTGCTTTCCTGGAAAAAAATTTCTATGGTCATAGGCTAGCACAATCCTGTACTTCTGTAGACAGCTATGGATAAAATGAAGTTTCAGTAAAGAAATCTAGATCTTTCCTCACTTTCTTTTAGGAAAAAGCTATCAAAAGTACATTTTTCTTCCAATGTGTTCCATCTGCATGTTAAATCTAGAGGATGACCTCCTTCATGAAGCCCAGCTGTGATGATCAGTCAGTTCTACACCTCTTCAGGAATAAGGAGCAACAAGCAGCACTACCAAGGGAAGAGCCATGCCAAGAGACCCACCAAAATTAAAATACTCTTCACTATGTCAGTGACTGGGACAAGAGACTGAGGGGGAGAGGAGGGGGTTAGATTGACAAAATATAGGACTATGCCCAAGTCATGTCTTCTAAATCTAGGCATTTCTGTGTGAAAAAATGAATATTTCTGTTCTGAGCATGCTTTGATGGTTGCCATCTTTTTTTTCTCAATGTTGTGCCCTTGCAGCCTGAGAAACTGTAGGCTTTCAGTGCAAGTTAAGAAGACTGGCAGAAATTCTTACTCTGTCACTGGCTTCTTGTGAAAATTGACTCCAGCAAAGCGCTAGCTTTTTCACAGTCACAACCTAAAAATAAATTGAGGCAGATCAAGGAACACAACATATCTAGTTCTGCAGAGCTACAGACAAAGATCCAGGTTCAACAGCCATTGTGGTGCATACTCTCCATCACTGCTCACCTCAGCGAGGGTAGGAAATATTAAGAGGTGCATAATACTTTTCCACACAGGTTTGGCATCAATTGAAGCAGGGGGTGATGTCAGAAAAACACTCGTTTTAGAGTAAGCACATCCCACAGTGTCAGCACACTGCTTGTAACCCTTCCACTGCACCCCTCCACAAACCTCCTGTGGCCCAGTGTGGTCATTGGAGGCAGGATGTGCCACACTGGAGACAACCCAGCCTCTCCACAGCCAAGAGTTCTCCTTCCCCACCTTGTGCTGGTGACATTCTAAATGGGGCCATTTTTTAGGTGCACTGTTTGTAGATGCTGGAAAAAGGAACAAGGAGGACAATTTAGGGAACTAAAATGTCAAACTCTGATTATTCTCATTATAGCACCTGGACATTTTAGGGTTTATTTGGACCTGATCCAGCAGCTCTATTGTTGTATTGTATTTATTAAGACTGTTGTGTACTAA